TACCCTGTCACCTTGAAAATTAAGTTTCCCGGGAGACCACGTCTCCGATCACGTAAATCACATCTTCGATTGCCGTGTTGCCAGCATGGTTGTCCTGATAGTGTAGTTGTCATCACACCTGACTGGTGACAGGGGGACGTGGGTTCAAATCCCGCTCAGGGCAAATTTTCTTTTCAAACATTTATTCTATATATATATATCTATATATATATATCATTTTAAGATTTGAAAAGATACATATATACATAACTGCAGAAAGTACTGTTTCGGCCTTCTGGGCCTCATCAGTGCAGTGCTGATGCTAGGATGGGGGAGAACCGATATGGTTACCCCGAACGATCCCACATTTGTGCTTTCGTGTGAGCCATGCCAGAGTGCTCAAACTAGGAAAGCCTAGTGAGCTATGCTATGACTCTGAAAAAGCAGCTTGAATATTGTCGGCGTAATAGATGTGTACATTCAAACTGGATAATTTGAGACGAGCCAAAAGAACTATGAAAACGTACGAGTAGGTATATAATTGTATTGCAGAATTTAGTGAAATCTTTTGCCACATAATTAATGTGTAGAATGTCTTGAATTGGATCGAAGAAAAAGTAGCAAAACAATCGGCTAAGTTTAAGCAAAGAGATTGCACATTGTATGCAATTATTGAAGCAATAACCATAGAATAAACGTGGGTGGGAAGCTTCCTTCGATTTAAAACACAAGGAAGTGCAAAAATGAACGAAAGAGGTAAAATAATATTTCCCAAACGAGACCTAAGACAAGGGAGAAACCTTCGAATATCTTTAGGATAAGACCCGTAGTAGTTTTCAGCGTTTCAATGATCAGCTAGCGATAAAAAAATGAAAAAAATATAATGGATCGTGGGAAGATAAATATATCGAGAAACGAAAAAGCTTGAATACAGATTATCCATTGTCTCAACATACAGTCGAACGTTTCTTCAATACTGAAAACAATCAGATTAGAAAACCGAACGAACTTATATCGTTAGGATTGAGGACAGCTCTTACTTAAGGGAGCTATGAGTGAGTGCGAATCGAAAAGTTTTCTTTGGTTTCCACATGAAATATCTAATGTTTGAGTTTCAGACCACATGTTAGTCTAAAATCATTTCAATATACGATAAATTTCCAGAAAACTGGATTGATTTGGTATCAATTCTAACGCGGTATTCGGCTGAACTTTATTAGAGATATTATCATCAGTACAGCTAGCCTGCATGTTATGCTAGTGCTCGCGAAATGGAAAATTTAACAAAATTTTCAAATTTAACAAATTTGTTAAATTTTCATTTCGCGAGCACTAGCATAACATGCAGGCTAGCTGTAGAAAGAAAAGATACGTTCCCATTGGTAAAATAGCGAAGAACAAAAATTAATTGGTTTTTTTGGTACGGTAAAAGGTTGTAAAAGGCGTCTGACTCATGTTCCTTAGGAATCTTTTTAATAGCTTCATTTATTCATTTTCATGGGAAATTGACATTTGCAATGCTTCTCGTAAGTTAATTTCCGCCGAAGGGAGACAGATCGTCAACGGAAATAATCAATTAGAAAACATGCTTGTTTCTGAATGAGCAAAAACAACGGGCTTCAAAAACAAGGGATGTCTGAGTGTCTAATACAAAATATTCTATGTTTAGAAATCCTTAAAAGAACTTTGGCAAACTCTTAATGCGGAATTACTGCTTCCTCTCCACTGAGATAATTAGGCTATTGTTCCATTTCACAGACACTTTATCACCGTGAAAATATAATAATTTATTTCGCATCTTACGAGTGGTAATATAGAGGTTGTGTATCGCAGTACCCGAATGAAAACGGTACCCGTAAATAGATTATTTCAAATTTTCCAAGAATAATTTATTTGAAAAAACCAATTCGTTACGTTTTCTCTTAAGCAACAAAAGACAATATTGTCAATTTTTTTCTCGAGAGACAATGAATATATGAAGATCATATATTTTGAACTGCGGTATTAGATACGTATGATGCACGATCCTACTGCGAGATACGTATGATGCACGATATCTACTGCGATCGAGGATCGTGCATCATACGAAATTTTTTCTCGTGTATAATGAAAATGGCGATAGCTAAGTTTGAATATGATTACTATGTTTTATCACATTAAGTAAAGGATTACTCTTTCACAAATGTAAGAACTTATTAAGAAACAGATTCGCGGTAGTATGTGCAATTAAATTTCCATACTGAACCGGAGTTTTTCCTCTTCTGAGCTGCGGAGCTCTTCAGATAAAAAACTCTTCAAAATACACTGCAGACATAAACTTCTTAAATTTATTATAGAAACGTTCAATTAGGCAAAAAAGGCACAGTGGCAATTTACATTAAAGGTTCAATTTCGCTGAGGTTAAAAAACAAATGAGCCTCAAATATGAATGAATATCATGAATTCATAAAAATTTGCTTTGAAGTTGCCGGAAGGCGAGATATTCTGCCAGTGCAATAATGTGATGCTAAACACCATAAGGTTCCGGCTTGGATTACGCCCATTAGAAACATATAATACATATAAAATCTGGTTTGTTTTACTAATACTTACGAAACATAATATGGGAACATTCAATTGCAAGTTTTATTTCACATAATTAAAGAGAACGAAATTAAATAAAAATGCTTTTTAGATTTTAGTTTGGCTTAGCGCAAACTCAGAACTCCATATAAAAGTTTAGCCGGAAATTGTCCAAATTTTCAGCTGGTGGTCGCTTTAAGTACCACTGGTGTTCGATTATCTCAGTAAATTCTAGACGTGAATCGTTTGGTTCGTCCCCGAAGTCAGCTCTGAGGGAAAAGCTTTTAACACTCAACTAGTGTCTTTAAGAAAGGTCAGTAATTTCATGTTAATGACTAGTTCCCAAATTCAAGCAGCAGTTTACTAGCTCTACTCTAGCCATTTAAAACAATAAAAATAATAAGAAAAAAAAATTGTCGAAGGGAAGCAAAAATAATGTTTATTTAAAAAGAAGTCCATTGTTTTTCTCTTCATCTGCATAAACGATAGGAGCTGCCTTCTCAAACAATGTGCTTAGGATTAAAAGTTATTTCCACCAGGTTTGCTTGTTTTCTCAGTTTTCATTCGCTCAAAAACTTCAGTTTTTAACTGAGAAATCATCAGAGCAGTTTCCTTGAACTGCTGTTCTATTCAAAAGTATCTTAAAAGTGAAAGGTGTCGATGTTCACGCAGTTACCTCGAATAACGAATTTAATTTTCCTGACCCTTACATAATGCAAATATTACCAAGAAAGAGCAAGTTTCCAGTCGTTCAAATTCAGAGCCAATTTCCAGACTCATTTTGCAAGATATTTTTAAAAATTTTGTTCTAGCAAATGTTCAAATACTTGACAAGACAGTACACGTAGTCATCTCTAAATTGAGCAGGAGGTCGGTGGCCTATTTAGTAGTAGAGAGCTTTGATATCAACTTATTGCTTAGAAAGCCTTCTTTAGCCCTGTAAACTGAACAAAACGCAACAGACAAAATATATGTTGTAGGCGCTATGGAAAGGAACTCCGGCAATCTTTTCCTAAGCTCCATTACCATCAGCGTGTGGAAGAGGTTGAAGGGAAGTATTTCATTGGTTTTCAAGCTGGTTAAAGAAATTTTGAATTACAGATACAAGAGTATATCACATACGATTCGTATTTTGGAAGAAGTAAAACTTATGATGACCACAATAGATTGTGGAAAAATTCTGGCATTCTTTTTTATAACCTGTACCAAAGTAAGAAGATCATGTTTGGGTAATATCTCACCGCACTTTTGGCAAAGTACGTGATATCAAGCAATAACATCTGCAACCCAACGTCCTCATTTTGACATCTTATGGTGAACTCTGAGTTATAATGAGATTTTTGTGGCTCCTAGTGGAAAATTATTCAAACCACGCACACTACTTTGGGCATCCAAATTACAAAGTTTAATTAAAAAGTGTTCGAGAATTCTTTACGTATTGCCCTGTTATATCGTGTGCTAAACTATACTGTTGAAAAGCTTGTATCCTTATTAAGAGAGTCTGAAGACGACTGAAATGATAGACGTTTGATGGTCTTTCACGGGCTTCACTGGCCCACTCTTTTATTTCTCTTGGGTGAAGTGATGGAGAAATATCAAATGCACACTGTTTGAAATCCAAATTATGTCATTATGCGGTTAAAGGTTAACCAAAACACCACCCTTGGAGGGATTATTTTCAAATAAAACGCACGAAAGCTAAAAAGGAACCGTTTTCTCTGGTTCTCCTTATAATTATGTAAACGTGATCAACTTGAATGTTAAAAATGCGAGGCTATGATGTTTAGTCATTTGTGAAGGATGAGGAAACCTCATACAACCCTTCACACTAAGTCTTGCAAATCATTTTTGAATAATAAGTTGCTACCAATTAAAATTACCCTTAAAAACGCGAAAATCAAGCAAAAGTAACCTGAAAGGTCGTAGAAGGAAATAATTGAAACAGACTGCAATTGAATTCTAGGAAAATTTCAGGCTAAGTCAGTTGTTCAAGAATTGTTAACCGAACATCTCTTCTTTGACAAAAACAATAGACTAAATATTGGAGGAAAATGCGTTCCTTTAATCTTGTTGTTTGTAATTACTTCTCTCTTCAATTGACATTTCTTATTATACACAAAGATTTAGAGCCCACAACATTAGCCTGTGCTTATCAAGGGACTTTTGATACTGTCAATGAATCTCGGCTACCTAATGAGAACTATGAAAATGGAGTCATATTCTAATCATATTATCACATTACTTGGTACTCATTTGGCCCGGTTTAGCTAAAACAACTTACTTCCTCCTACTCTTAAATGATATAAAACAATAATTATTTTATTTTTCCAGAAATTCCCACTCTACAATATTTCATTTGGGATGAACTTTAACCAGCCGAGGCCTCAATTTTCTCTAATTAATGTGCCTCACCATTTCATTCTGCATAATTACATTTCCATGACGTTAAGACTGATATTTTTGGTATGAAAAAGTCACGAGAGTCCATTTTTCTCGACAGTATATTTTTTTTCGCGAAGTTCCTGTTGAATTCCTTTACTTTAGCGTTTGTCAATATTCCGTTCTTTAAAACCAATCACGAGCTTAAAATAATGAATAATGTATAATGATGCACAATTCACTTCCGCCCTGATAAACTTCCGCTAATCTTGAATGCCGATTGGTTACACGACATACATAACGGGTCACAATCCACAGAACTTCTATTATCAAATTTTGAAGAGAATTAGAAAATCGATTTCAGGTTACGTGTCATAACATGTGAACTCAAGGCAAAGAGGTTACATAACAAACGGTACGTAAGGATATAAACGTGTCACTTTCAACTTGGAGTGGCATGTAATGAGACTTACCGTAGTATTATTTTCGTTGTTTTCCAAAACGGCACAAAACAGCGCTGAAAGCGATGCAAATTCAACATAGATTTGCAATGCACTAGTTGCTGTGATAACAGCAAGATACCAAACGGAGAAATTCAATTGGAAATTATACATTCACTATTTTTGTCATACTGTCAAAGTCTTAGAAAACATGTTTGGAATGTCCAGTTCATTGGTCACGTCCACGGTTTGAAGATACACGAGCATGTCTCACATTGAAATCAATGTCGTTCTTGTATGAAGACTGCAATTTCAAGTAGGACTAAAAAGTATGCTGACATTTTGCAAGTATTGGTCGCCATATATCAGAGACTTCCGTGGAATTATACTGTTTATGATTTGTTTTGTTTTTTAATTTTCATTGGAATAGGAAAAAGTAGAAAATATTCCGTCAAGCAATTAGCCTCCGCGCCACTGTAAAAACCCAACAGACTGAAAAGGCGACAATAGAAATTCAAAATACTTTAGCTTTTAATTGAAGGTATTCCTATTGGTTCCTGAGAAAAATAGTTTGTTGTTAACAACGTATATCTTTGCTATGACTTATCAACAAGACACCACACATTTGAAATTTGAAGAAGTCTCACATTAGACACATGAAATAAACGAGTTTCCCACATCCTAGAAATAGTACGACTACTAGTAAGGGTTTCGATGGCATTTTTTTCAAGCAAAATTTTTATATAATGCTCAGCGTTATATCTTTAATAAAGGAATAAACTAATTAAAGAAACTGTAGTGCTGCGTCGGTGGGGATGGGGGGTGGGGGGTATCAAAAGATAATTTGATTTTAACAACTGAGTTGATAATGTAAATTGGCCACCGTGAAGAGTTTTTAAAGCTTCTGAGGCTGACGTTTCGAGCGTTAGTCGTCAAAGCGAATAGCGAAGCTTACAATTCCGCCGTTACAGACATTGAAATTAGAAAAAACTGCTTGAGGGCACGGAAATATACTTGGTTTAATTTCAATTTACGAACACTTTTGCCAATGCTCTCATGTGCGTGTCACATACAGTTATTTCGTAACCGCACGAAACAGTCCCTTCCTCGCCATTATTGTCAATGCTATTTTTTTATACGACTATGCCTTTGTTGCAGATTAACCGCACGGAACAGCCCATGTCAAAAACATCAGTCAAAGATAACCTTTGCAAAGCTATCTGAAGGTTTGAGGAATGACACTCCAATCTAAGAACAGACACAGCAAGTTAAGAACAGAGAGACTAGACAAAAAGATCACAATCAATGTCAGCGGTCGGCGTTTTTGTACGTGGGATAGCACATTGAAAAAACATCCAAATACTTTGTTAGGAAGCGATGCGATCAAAGTGTACTTCGACGATGACAAAAATGAGTACTTCTTGGACAGAGACCCTCACATGTTTCGTTACATTCTCAATTACTATCGCGATGGAAAATTACATTACTCCTACGACGACTGCTTCGGAGCTTTCAACGAAGAGCTGAGTTTCTACGGAATCGACGTCGACAATCTAGACGAATGCTGCTGGGAGGAATGTTACAATCTCTCCAAGAAAATTTGCTCTAAAAATCAAGAAGTTTCAAAGTGTCCCTGGAGTGAGCTTGCTCCAAGAAAATCTTTTCTTCGAACATTTTTCTGGAATCTTCTCGAAAATACAGAGAATCCTCCTCGAGTGGGAAGATATATTCAAAGCTTTCTTGGCATCCTCATATATATCAGTGTTGTCGGTACAATCGTTGAAACCGAGAGATGTTGCAAAGATAAAACTTGCGAGGAAACCTATCCTCGCTTATTTTTTGCGGTGGATGCCTTCTGCATGATCGTTTTCACCGCTGAATACATCCTTAGACTCTACGCCTCTGACAACAGTCTTAAATTTATCAGAAATAAGATGAATATCGTGGATTTACTGGCAGTTGCGCCTTTTTATGTAATTCTTATATACAATAATCTCTTCCCGAACTCTTCGTCCGCGGTGAAGAACGCCAGCAGTCTGAATGTCCTGCGCATGCTCAGAGTCTTTCGCATTTTCAAGCTCTCACGTCATTCGAAACACATGAGGCAGATGGGTAGGGCTTTAAAGCGCGCCATTGTCGATCTAGGGTTCCTGTTCTTGGCATTTCTGTTGACAAACATGGTATTTTCAAGCGTGCTGTACTACATCGAACAAATGGAGGCAAAGAAGACAAAATTCCGGAGTATTCCGGACAGTATGTGGTACACAATAATTACTATGATGACTGTGGGGTAAGTTCTCTTCATTGTCACCTCTCAGTGAAAGATAAAAATTATATTTCCTCTTTTCCTCATCAAAAAAAGTGGCCTCGATTTCTGAAGAGTCAACTTTCACCATCCCCACGGACGAACACGGCTAGGTACAGACGGCAAATTAAATAATTACTCTTTCGCTTAGAGAGAGGCCTAACTTTGTGCTAAACTCCTATCAAAAGGATCTGATCAAAAAATATTTTGCAGTACTTCATCCATGATTCGAAGTAATAATTTTTCCACTTGTTGCAATCCAATCCTTTATTTTGCTTCATCCTACAATTACTGCACATAACAACTCCTTCTATTATATATTCGCGTTTGCCACACAGAATTCTATGAAAACTGCACACAACCGGAGATCACTCTTTAGTGTGTAAATTAAAATAGTGAAAAAAAGCTGCTTGGATAAAAACGCCCCTGCTTCCCCCAGCAATATGGCCGACATCACGCGACGTCCCGTATAAAACGATCTATCGTCGGAGATGAATATCAAACCAATAACGATATCATTTTCTGGGCTGACTTCAAATTTGTGAGTTCGATGTTAAGAGGATATTTCCGAAGTACCCAAAGATTCTGATTTCTTTTTTTTGTACTTATTCAAATCAAAAATAGTTCCCGTAGCAATGTATTGCACTTGTCTTCATTTTGAAAGTGAGCATTTTAAGCACACGAAAGTGGCTTTTTACATAAGACAACTGACCAAAATAATTTTCATTTTCAGGTATGGTGATATGGTTCCTATAACTAGTCTGGGAAAAATTTTAGGTTCTTTATGCTGTCTATCAGGTATAATCATGTTAGCGCTACCCATACCCATCATACAAGAAGGAAGCGCGGAAATCAGAGAGAAAGAACTACAAAAAGAACAACAGAAACAAAGCAAATAACAAAAACAGCAAGAATGAATATAGTAATCAACGATAAAATGACTCGAGGCGCTTACTACAGGCAACTGTCGAGCTGTGTAACGATGACAATGAAACGATATGGAACGGCGAAGGTGTTTGCATCTGGTATACTCTCTTGACAATTTGAGAAAAATTCAAGTCACATGGCGCCTTCACTGATTAAAACAGGCCTTATCTTTAAAATAAGCGTGTTATGAGTAAACCCGAGTGGCATTAAAATGAATATGAGAGAGACTGGGGAGAGCGGCTGACCACATGGCAATCCAAGTTACACAGACGTTCGCCTTCACTTCTTTCTCTTCCTGTTTTTTCATTTTCTTTTTCTTTTTCTACCTTATTTCGCGTTCGTGTCAAAAAAATTAATTGTAAAATTATTGAAGAGGCAGAATATTATTGAAGAACGGTTCAAAAGCGATTATGGCTGAGGAGGCTGGTGTTTTTAGTGTATGCACACCACAACTCGATAGCTGAGCACCGATGGATTATGTGAAACTAGATAATCTCGTTCCAGCTTCTCCATGTTGACCAGAGGGCATCGTTGGATAGCCTGCCACTGATGTCTTAAATCAGGTTTAATGCAAACGGTGCGGAATAATCTAGTTTTCTAAGAGAAGAAAATCAAACAACTATTTTAGTTTGTATTATGCGTAGGCACACTGGGTAAGTTTGATACTAACGTCATGCGTAACCAGCTTAAAATCATTAGTAACATGTATATATTGTTGAAACTTTGATGAAAAAGAAGAGAAATGCTCCTTCAGATAATATTCATGCTATGAAATGAAATATGAGGGTCTTGATGGAGTTTAACCATTAGCCGTAAAACGGCCAAAGAATGCAGCCGTTGGGCGTAAAATTTGACAAATTTTAACCGCTGGTCGTAAAAAAAGTTAACCGTGAAAACTTTTCCTTTCTGTAATGTGTCATTTTGGGTAAACCGTCGCCGTAGAATTGCCAAAACTTAATCGTTATCCGTAAAAGCCATTACTCCAATTACCAACAAAATAATTAACAAAACACACAGATGGAGCTTGCATTTATAAAAAAAAAACAACAAAACAAAACAAAAACAAAAAAAAAAACATGTATTTATATTCTTGTGCCATGATTGGCAGGTTTAGAAGAATCTCTCAAACCCCCCGAGGCTTACGTTCGATCCGAGAACACGAAAGATCCACGCAAGCGAGGCAAACAAACAAACAAAACGATACAAAACATAATGAAAATAATAATAATAATAATAATAATAATAATAATAATAATAATACCAAAAAAAATAATAAAAAATAAAAAGAAACAAAACCTTCTAACTTTTATTTCGTGCCTCTTAAAGAGTGAGTTCCAGTCTTAATCCGGCGACACAATTTGCAAAGGTAAGGGAAAGGTGAGTAGGTGTCGCGTGGAGTACGAAGGCGCCGTGTTGTTTTAATTTCCTATTTTTTTGTTTTGTTATTATAATTATTATTTGTAAATGTAGTGGAACAAAAGCATCTTCATGTCTTAAAACGAAAAAAATTTTACCTTAAATATTTAGAAAGAGGGAGAACGCATGTACACATATTTGATTCAGATCTTCCATCCTATGTGTGTCGGTGTAAACAGCCGACAGATGCCATAAATATAGCAAAAAGTAAACACGACTTCACTTCTTTTTATGGTGAAACTACCCGAACGGTTAGAACACAGAATAAAAATATATCTAGTAAAGCAAACAATGAAAGCTTTTAGCGTTTCCAGACTGAGAATCTAAAACGTGCGCAATAGGAAGTTCTGCAATTTTTTTTCCGGAAGAAACACCTCATACCGCAGATTAATGCGTCTGGCTGAATGTAATTCAGTGATCTGCTTAAGCCACCATTGTACTTTAATCTTGTGGCTAAATTATTGGATCAGTTTCAGTATCTGAGCAGTTACACTTCTACCCCTCCCCTCCTTACCCATTAACGATTAACTGATAACTAGTTAGGGTTAATGTTGAGTTAGGGGAGGGGTGGGTCGCAGTTGCCCAGATACTTAGATTAATTAACAGTTATTCCATAAGCTGAAGCATAAGCTTGAATTGGTTCGTGTTTTGTGATGATGCATTGTGTTATCAACAAATTGTTTACAAATTACCAGCGAAAGAACATTACTAAAGCGTTGTAACTTAGTGAAGGTGAAAGCTTGATTGATCTTAACCATGATCAAAGCTAGGGCGAGAGAAGAAGATAGCAAACCGCTATTGCTTTCATCAACTGAGGGGCAACACATTGAAGAAGAGAGAAAGAGTACGTCGCTATGGTGCAACAGCATCAAGAGGTGGACATTTCTAATTATAACCGTAGTGGTCGGTTTGTTCGATTTGGTAACAGACTGGCAGAATTTCGTAAAATATGCGTCCCAGCCAGAAGACCTAAAGGAGTTCAGTTTAACCGTGGCTATACTTTATTTCTTCTTTTGCTGCTTTATTGGAGCAGGTATTTATTTCTGGGACGTTTGGTTGGCTTTCCGAGAATTTAAAGGTTATTTTGACGAGGAGATTCTCAGCCGAGATGCAAAATTGCGAGACTGTGTTTATAAAGATAAAACGTATCTTTCGTTGGCGTCAATACTTCTGAAAGATTTTCCCTGTTTCTTTCTGAATTTCTTTATCATTTACTGCGACTCGCCTGAAAATGTCGATGAGCAAGCGTTTCACCTCGCTACTTGGCAAACACTGGCTCTCGTTTCGTCTCTTGTGAGCGTCATCGTTTCAATTGCAAGATTGCTCTGGCTTAATTGCAAGTATTTTAAAATTTTTGGCTGCTTACCAAAGAGCGCTGTGCTGTCATCTTGTTGTGTATGGTCGAACAGCCTACTAGCATACATGGTTTTAGCAGCCATGCTGAATTTTTTCTTCGGCCAGTTTGTTCCGGAGATCATTTCGTTTCAAGCTCGTCAGGCTAAGCTATCGAATGAGGAAAATCTTAAAATCGTACCCGTTATGAAGAAATTCACGATCACACTTCACCAAGTCTATCACTATGGCAACCGCACAACCTTTAAAGATCGGCGAATGGACGATACCCTGTTTAATGGAGTCTTCTCAAAGGACTTAAAAACAATGAAAGATGAGGGAGTCGTTGTAAAGCAAAAAAGGAAATGTTCTGATATCTTCTATCATGTAAAACCAGCGATCAAAATAAGTTACAAATGGAATCCCAAGAAAAACAACTTCAGAAAGTCGGCTACAGAGTACTATTGGCAGTGGGAAGGTGAAAATTGCTCAGCCATGACAAGTAACCATGGCGAGACTCTCGTCACTTTTTGTAAACCTGTTTGGTATGAAATCAAGCCAGTTTGGTGCAATTTTACGGACAGAATTGTTTACGACCAGCAGAAGTTTACAACTTTTTACAGTGTGGCAAATAGGACCCAGTCCACGTGCACTCCTGTTCGTAAACAATGGATCCCTGATGTGCTTAATGAAACCGGTTCGTTAAGGAAGCAATTAAGTTATTGCGAGAAGGCGTCAAGGAAATAGAAACCGGTTTGGAAACCTGATATTTCTGTATGCTAGTGGTTACGGACCTAAAAATGGAAAAAGTGTAGTCAGGAGATGTCATGAGTTTTATAGAAATTGGTTGCCTCTGACTTTTGTTATTTTTGAAACAGACGTTTCGGCTAATGCTTAAGCCTTCATCAGTGATATGAAAAACGAAGATCGTTATCAAACTATGGCCAAACAGAAAGATCATTAAAGACCAGAATTGCGGAGCACAAAAAGGCAGTTGCAGGTTTTGACTTAAACTCCAAAGTCGCAAGCCATGTCCACCTTTTCGACCATACCATGGATTTCACAAACGTCAGGGTCGTTGGTTTCGAAACCAATTACCACGAGAGACTTTTCCTTGAAGCCTGGCAATCTACTTTGGATCTGAATGCGGGGAACGATCACATCGTACTTCCAGAAGCCTATAAAGACCTCGCGCGAGCATCAAATGCATAGTTACGCGCGCAAGCTTCGCTTCACGTTTTTAACTTTAAATAGCGTATGATAACGATCTTCGTTTTTCATATCACTGATGAAGGCTTAAGCATTAGCCGAAACTTCTGTTTCAAAAATAACAACAGTCAGAGGCAACGAATTTCTCTAAAACTCCTGGTTACGGACCTACTACTTAAATGGAACTTTAAATATCAAGAGGGATATAAATGAAGTTCTCGGATATCAATCGACTAGGACTACTGTTACTTTCCCATTCTCTCCTCCCTTTGCATTCCAGACGCCGTGCAGCAAGACGAAAATGACAAAGTTACTGTTACTTTCCCATTCTCTCCTCCCTTTGCATTCCAGACGCCGTGCAGCAAGACGAAAATGACAAAGTTACTGTTACTTTCCCATTCTCTCCTCCCTTTGCATTCCAGACGCCA